GTGTCCCCTGATCTGTGTCCTGTGTCCTGTGTCCTCTGGCCTGTGTCCTGGGTCCCCTGGCCTGTGTCCTGTGTCCTCTGACCTGTGTCCTGTGTTCCCTGGCCTGTGTCCTGTGTCCCCTGGCCTGTGGTTTTCTGGACTCTGGTGGTCTTCATGGGAGCCCCATCTGAAATGGCCACACCTCATGCTCCCCACTTGCCTGTCCACTTTGCCCTGACCTCTCGGTAGTCTCCTCATCCAGGCGCCTCCGGTGGGACAGTTTCCAGCTCTCTCACCAGCCGCAGCCGGTCACAGAGTCGCCGCTCATCAGCCACCAGACGGCTGGCCAGCTCAACCTGCTGCAGCGTTTCTCGCTGCTTCGCCTGACGGCCATCATGGAAAAACACTCCCTGTGCAGCAAGCACGGCTGGACGTGGTGCGTATCACAGGGGGAACGAGGGATGGGGTCACTGCGGGGCACCGTGTGGTGCTGACCGGTGTCTGCCCGCAGGCCTGGAGCGCCTGTCGGCTGCCTTCACTAACAGTCCCTGAGGCCCCTGGGTGCCCCCAGGGTTAGCTCTCCGTGTGGGCCCTCCCGTTTGCACCATGGCCAAGGCCTGGCATTCCGTCCCTTCTGGATCGCTGGTGTAGGTGCCTCACTCAGCCGTTCCAGCTCACCGTGCCCTTGGCCTTCATAGCTGGAACCATCTAGAAGCAGGTGGCCAGGTCTGTCCACTGTGGACCGCTGGCGGAGACCTTTGCTTTAGATGGTTGTGTGCCTTCGAGGAAGTGTAGGAACTGTCGGAAATTGTCTTATGCTGGATGCTACCCAGGTAAAAGCATCTGTAGGGCTGTTCTAAAATGTTTTAGAGATCAGACATTACCTGTGAAATAAATACATGGACTTTCCTTGGAAATGCTGTGAGTCCACATCTAGCACACGTCACAGTGAAGCCGGACACAGTGGCCACGCGCCGCTCCAGGATCCCAGCTGCCTGTGACACCTGTGCAGACACTGTGCTACAGACTGGAGGTGTGTGACGCCTGGGGGGGGGAGTGTGAAACATGGTGACCAAAGTGGACACAGAGACAGGCAGTGACCTCATGCAGTGACAGGAAATGACTCTGTGCTGTTGAAAGAAGGCTTGATGCGGGCTGCCGTGAACCTTGTAGAAAACGTAGTGTCTGTTGAGCCAACAAAAATCCTAACGTGTGTCTCTGAACTTCTAAGATCTCCTTCTTAAGAAATGACGGCTGTTTCCAGCAAAGTGAAAACGCATCGCCATGAAATGCGTTCTGCCCCCCTCCCCCTCCGTTCCCTTCCCTCTCCACGGTGCCTCTTCCCTGCCCCTTTAGTAGAGGACTTGTCATTGTTTGGAATCCTTACGTGGTTAAAACACTTGGCTGCTCACCGAGAGGTTGGCGGTTCAGGCCCACCCAGTGGCACTTTGTAAGCCAGGCCTGGAGCTCTGCTCTTGGGGCCTCTGAAGACCCTGTGGCGATGCAGGAGCGAGAAAGTGGATCCACTCGCTGGCAGCTGCTTGTTTTGTTTCAAGTGTTTGCTGACTGAAAACCATGACAGTCACAGTCACAATTTTACGAAAAGTTGTCCTCTCAACTTGAAAACTGGGCTCCAATACCTTCTGCTACGTGTAAGGAGTCCTGGAAATGAATGGTTAAGCATTTGACTGCTGACAGAAAGATGAGTGGTTCAAAACCGCCCTGTGGCTCCGTGGAGGAAGGGCCTGGTGGTCTGCTCCTGTCACGTGTAGGAAGCACCACAGGCAGTTGTGTTCTTGCTACTATAACCATTATGCATCCTGCTAGGATTAGGAGGAGACCGGTTTTGAGACATCCTGAGTCTTTGATCTGGAGGCCCCAGAGTTTGGTCTGCTGTACAAGCCCATGATTTCCCACATCAAAACCCCTCTTTCTTCAGTTCCCGAGCGCCTGTGTGTCCATTGGGTTGGGTAGTTCACTGGAAGGGCGCCCAGGGACTCAGACCCTCAGGAAATTACTCACGTGACTGTAGGGGTGCAGGCTGGTGAGCATCACAGACTGTCCACTGAAGGCAGATGTCCCAGGATACAGAAGGCAGCACTGAGTTTATAGAAACCTCAAGTAGGGTGGGGCTTGCATCCCAACCTACCCCTCTCTCCTTAACACGATGAACTCTTCAGCACAGTGTAAACAGTTACTCATTGGCTCCGAAAGACATTTTGGAAGATAAACCTTAGACACCCAGACCTACAGAGTGCAGATTGACTCAAGGCTAGTAGGGATTGGAAGGGGACTAGCTAGGCACCAGGCTGCTGCCCAGGAGGCTGGAGGTTCAGACCTGCCCACCACTTCCACAGAGGCCAGTGTTTGTACCTAGTGATCTGTTACCATAGAGACTACAATCCGGGAACCCTACAGGCCAGCTCTACCCCGTCGTGTGGGGTACCCATCAGTCAGAACCGACTTGGCACCCAGCAAGGTCCAGGTGGCTAGCACTGTCAGACAGAGGCAGTAGGGTCCAGAGCCACATGCATCCCGCCTGCCCACAGCATGGCCCGCCAAGCGGAGATGGCATCCTCTGGCCCGAGTGTAGCTGCCTCCCTGAGCTCACTTTATTACAGCCTGCCGTGTCCCTGCAGCCTGCCTGACCCTCTCTCCTGTGAATTCCAGGTCTGTCCCCAAGTTCATGAAGAGGATGAAAGTGCCTGATTATAGAGACAAGGCTGTCTTTGGGGTCCCACTGATCGTGCACGTGCAGAGGACCGGGCAGCCTCTGCCGCACAGCATCCAGCAGGCTCTCAGGTATCTGCGCACCAGCTGCCTCGACCAGGTACGCCTGGGCCCCCCCACTCACTGCGAGGGTGCACGGGGACAGGAGGCCTGGGGTGCAAGGGTTCCACACTCACCCGCTAACCGAAAAGTCACTGGTTCAAAGCCAGCCTGCAGCACCATGGGGGATGATAAAGCCGTCTGCCTTCTAAGGATGTCCCAGTTAGAGACCCTCTGGGCCCTCTCCTGCCCCACGGGGCCGCGGTGTGCAGGAAGTGACTGGATGGTACCCAACAATAGTTCTCCCCCCGGAGCTCTTCCTCCTTCGGTCTGCCACATTCCTCTTCTGATGGGTCAACTGCTAGCCACAGGACCTCAGTCCACAAGGACCGCAGTCCATGAGGACCGCAGTCCAGTGCACCCAGGTGTGCCAGGGGAGAAAGGTCTGCTGACCTGCTCCGTAAAGATTCTGCCTGGGAAGCCCGGTAGGGCAGTCTTCCTCTGTCACACAGGGTCATTGTGAGTCAGAATGAGCCCCGCAGCACCCAGCATCGCCTGTTCTAGGACATTTGGGGCAAGTAGGTCCCACCTACTGAGATGACCAGAAGCACATGGCCTCACTCCTTCTCTGGGCCCAGGTCCATCCAACACCTTGCGAGTCGCTGGTGTGAGGGTTCTGTGTGCTGTACTCCTCCTGGGGACCATGCTGGTAGACCAGGGAGTCCTGGGGCACAGGGGGAAATCACTGGAGTGTCAGCCAGCAGGTCACATCTGCCCCACGACCCCATAGAAGAAATGCTGGCCTGCTGGCCTGCTGGCCAGGACGGCTGTGGAAAGCCTACGGGCCAGTTCTGCTCTGTCCTCCAGGGTCGTTGTGAGATGGAATCCACAGGACAGCACTGTTTGTGACACTGGGAATGTCCTGAGAAGAGCCCTGGTGACTAAGAGCTTAAAAGCTTTTCTTCTAACAGAAAGGTTGGAAGTTTGAATCCACCAGTGGCTCCTTGAGGAAAAACCTGAAGGTCTGATCCCTTAGAATTCTCACTGTGGTCCGGCAGACATGGGGCTGGCTCCTGGCTGTCCCTCCAACAGCTTTTCAGAGGCTGTAAATCGTGTGAGTGGGGGCTGCCCATTTTCCGCCCACAGAGCCACTGGTGAATTGGAACCGGCAGGGACCACCTTTGAGTTAGGGACACGTCTGCCTGCAGGGTACCCAGGCAGAGCTCCTGCGGGCAGGCCTGCTCTTCTACAACCCGAGGGGCTGACCCAAGGACCCAGGACTCCTCGTCTGCGTTGAGTCCCGTGGACGGCAGATTGACAGAGCTTTCTCCCAAGCGGCGGCTATGTGACTGATCTGTCAGCTTTAGGGATAGCACCTGAGTGCTTAATCATTGCACCACCAGGGACCTTTTAAAAGTTACGCCAGCTCTCTGCCCTTGAATCCAATCCCAGTGCCCAGCACCCCTGCAGGACAGAGTAGAAGCGACCCATGGGGTTACAGAGGGTGTGGCTCTTTATTTACAGAAGCAGCCGGGCCGAGTGAGGCCTGTTAGCATTCAGGGCTTGAGCACTGAGCCCCCAGACTCTGTTATGTCTCTTCCCATCTTCTCCTCCTGGCCTCTCACTTCCTCGTCCTATAGCTGATTAGTCTTTAGTACTACTGCCATTTGGCCCACGTTTCCCCACCCCACTCAGCTTGGACTAGAAACTTCTTCAGTCGCTAATCACTGGTGTCTTCCGATCTCCGTACCACATCGACCACACCGCGTAAACCCGCAGGCCTCCATGCTGAGTTTCGCTGCTGCTTTCCACACAGCAGCCGTGGGCCAGTAAACCTTAGTGGAGAAACGGTGCCTTCCAAAGGATGTCTAAATGAAACAGTGGAGAAGACAGCCTCTCTCATCTTCTCAATGAGCCCTAGCAGTATAGGAGAGAAGGTGCCTGAGTGCTAGCCAGAAGGTGAGCTGTTCGAGCCTTCCAGGTGCCTGCTCCTTGGAGTGAAGATGAGGCAGGCTGCTGCTTCAGTGTTCTAGTGAGTGGGATCTACAGAGGCGGGTGTTGGCTTCTGAGACCCGGGAAGCTGTCAGTGATTACAGCTGATGGATCCTCAACATAATGCATATGACAAATGTGAGGAGAGGAAAACCCTGGGTGAGGTGGATTGACATAGTGACTGTGGCACTGAGGGGAGGTGGGTCAGAGACAGTGAGATTGGTTCAGGATAGGTCAGGGTTCATAGGGTCACCACAAGTCATAGATGATGGCGCATAACGAAAATGTCACTATGTTATATGCCTGACTAACAGTGAACTGGCGGATGTTGTATTATGTAAATGTTTCACAATTTCTTCAACAAGGAAATAAGGCAGGAGTCTGGCTGCCTTTCTTCGATGTCCGTGGGGCTTTGACAGTTGCTACTTTATAAGTCAAAGGACCTCAGACGGTGTGGGTGGTGGCTGCTCCTCGAGATGGGCATGGGCAGTCTCCTTCCGCAAAGATCTCCAGCCAGGGTGCTGCGGGCCGAGCCCTCTCTGCTGTGGGGTTGCTGGGAGGCAGGGTTTTCTGAATGGCAGTGATTGGTATGGAGGGTCATAGAAAATAATGTTACGTTAGACTCTAGTCTAAAGCGGCCAGGACCATGGTTTGAAAAGGGAAATATTTCAAGAACTACAAAATATGGCAAAGAGACCTGGAGCACATGTGGTTGGAAAAAATGATGCCAATAGTCTTGTTTGTTACAGAGTTGTCACAAGCATTCAATTAAAAAAAAGAATGCAGTATCTTCAAGACACGTAGAGATGAGATGTATCTATGTATGTGATGAAAGGTGGTGTCTCCCTTCAACCTGCAGCTGGATGTAGACAAATAAGATCTTGCCTCCTTCAGTTAGGAAACATTTGTGTTCACACACAGCAGCGGGAAAGAGGAGTTGGGTGCTGCTGACTGATGAGCTTTATTTCTAACTTCAATCAGCCACACTCGGAAAGGGAGATGAAAATGACTCCAGGTGGATGAAAGGGGGAAGTGAGAGCTACTTCCTGATGGATGTGAAATGAGGTGATAATGAGTCCTGATGGATGGAGGGAGAGGAGATAGATGAGTCCTGATGGATGGAGGGTTAGGGTTAGGGTGGGAACTGAGACTGATAGATGGAGGGAGGTGAGAACTAAGACTGATGGATGGAGGGAGAGGTGGGAACTGAGACTGATGGAGGGAGGGAGAGGTGGGAACTGAAACTGATGGAGGGAGAGGTGGGAACTGACACTGACAGATGGAGGGAGAGGTGGGAACTGAGACTGATGGAGGGAGGGAGAGGTGGGAACTGACACTGACAGATGGAGGGAGAGGTGGGAACTGAGACTGATGGATGGAGGGAGAGGTGAGAACTGAAACTGATGGAGGGAGGGAGAGGTGAGAGGCCTCACTGGATTATAGTTTCACCTGTTTCCAAGGCTTGAATCCATTTGCTCTTGTTCTAACCCCTCATCCTAATTTTCATGATCACTCCATTGAATGAATCAGAGTCTACATTTTGACGAGATCCCCAGATGTCTTGTCTAGACTGAGGACTATTAGACGGTCACTGACAGTGCACATGAACCTGGCCTCCTGCTCTTCCTCCATAACGCCAAGCTCTCTTCAGCAGTGGAAGCACTTCTGAGAGGAGAGGACATCCTGAGAGGGACTATCGAGCGCTGACCACAGCAGCATCAACCGGATGTCAAGTAATTTCCCACAACTGATCTGGGATTTGAATTCTAACTCTCCATTCTTGTTCAAAATCTCCTTCTAAAGGAACGGTGAATTTTAAACGGCCATATCTGAGAGATTGGACTGTACGAAGAGCATAGCATCAGAGTTAGGGGAGGGCTCATCAGCCTTGATTGCTCAAAGTGAAGGAGACTGAAGCACTGAATGATGAAAATCAAAGACTTCAATATGGATGAAGGTCAGCGTCACTGAAGCAAGCCCACACACAGGAACCGAAAAGCAAAACTAATAGATGGAGAAACAGTTAAGAGTGAAAAGGCTTTCAGTTAGATACACAATCCATGCCCAGGGAAGCAGCTGTCAAGAAATAAAGCGATAGATTGCATTGTGTAAATACACTGCAAAGAAACACTTTCAATTCTTTAAAAGTAGAGGGCTACTTTTAAATTAAAAAAAAAAATCACTCACAGGTAGGAGCAGACTGACTTTTAAACACCCACCAGATTCCACACCGAGGCTTCCCACCCAAGTTGATTGTAAACTAGATCAGATAATGAGCTGAACATATGGTTTAAAAGCACAGCTCTGGAGGAGAAAGCAAAGTATTATAATGGAATATGCAGAGAGTTGAACTGGAGTATAAAAAGGGAAGAATGCGCTCTGTATTTCTCAACCTAAAAGAACTGAAAAATTTAAGCCTCATGTTGCGATATTGAAAGATGCTATGAGCAATCTTTTCATTGACCCAGAAAGCATCAAAAAAAGATGGAAAGAATACACAGAGTCACTGCACCAGAAAAAATTGATTGACACTGAAAAATTTCAGGAAATATCATATGAACATGAGCCAATGGTAATGAAAGAGAAAGTGGAAGCTGTATTGAAGGCATTTGCAAATAATAAGGCCCCAGGAATCAATGGCATACCAATTGACTTGTTTCAATTAACAGATGAAGCCTTGAATGCACTCACCAGTTTATGCCAGGAAATCTGGAGAAGATGGCTGTCTGGCCAAAAGATTGGAAGAAGTCCATATTTGTTCCTATTCCCAAGAAGGGTGGTTCAACTGAATGTGGAAATTATCGAACAATATCATTGATAACACATGCAAGCAAAATACTGCTGAAGATCATTCAAAAATTACTGAAACAGTGCATAAATAGTGAACTGCCAGAAGTTCAAGTGGGATTTAGAAGAGGCCATGGCACCAGGGTTATCATTGCTGATGTCAGATGGATCCTGGCTGAAAGTAAGGAATACCAGAAAAATGTCTACTTGTGCTTTACTATGTAAAGTGTTTGACTGTGTGGATCATGACAAGTTGTGGCTGACATTGAGGAGAATGGGAATCCCAGAGCACTTGATTGTGCTCATGAGGAACCTGTAACTGGACCAGGAGGCTGTTGTGTGAACGGAGCAGAGGAGCACTGCATGGTTTAGGATTGGGAAGGGAGTGCATCAGGGATATATTCTATTTCCATACCTGTTCAATCTAAATGCTGAGAAAATTATCCGAGACATTGGACTCTATGAGTAGGAATGTGGCATCAGGTTTGGAGGGAAACTCACAAATAACCTGCATTACGCAGATGACACAACCTTACTTGCTGAAAGTGAGGAGGATATGAAATCCTTGTTGCAGAAGATCAAGACATGCAGCCTTCAGTATGAATTGTGTCTCAATATCAAGAAAACAAAGATTCTTACCACTGAACCAATAGGAAGTGTCATAATGGATGAAGAGGAAATTGAACCTGTCAGCGCCTTCATCTTGCTTGGATCCACAATTAACACTCTTGCTACAAGCAGTCAGGAAATAAAGAGACACATTGCACTGGGAAAATCTGCAGTTATGGACCTTTACAAATTATTTGAAAATAGTTATTGAGGAGTACTGATGTCAGTTGAGGACTAAGGTATGTCTGATTCAGGCCATGGTCTTTCCAGTTACTGGCTATGCATCCAAGACCTGAAAAATGAAAAAGGATGACAGACAAAGAATTGATGCCTTTGAGCTGTGGTGCTGGAGAAGAGCACTGAACATCCCATGGGCGGCCAAGGAAACAAGTAAATATGTCTGGAAGAGGGTGCAGCCGGAGTGTCCTTTGGAGGCAAGGATGATGTCTCTTCTCCTCAATTACTTTGGGCATGTTGCTAGGAGGGGCTATTCCTTGGAGAGGAACATGATATTAGGAAGGGTGGAGGGCTGACGAAGGAGAAGAGGACCCTCAACTAGGTGGATTGACACAGTAACTGCTGCAATTGTGTGTCAGAAAGTGTAAGGATGGCGCAGAACAAGACTAGGTTCAGATCTTTTGTTTATAGGGCCTCCATGAGTCATACTTGACTCAATGGCACCTAACAGCAACAACTTTTAAATAACTTTAAACCTTCAAGGACTCAAGCGTACCTGACTCAAGTCATCATATTTTCAATCCCCTCATATGCTTGCAAAAGTTGGACAATGCGTAAGGAAGATTGATGAAGAATTTATGCCTTTGGATGGATGTCTTAGAGAGGGATATTGAATGGCCAGAAGAACAAACCAGTCTGTCTTAGAAGGGCAGCTACAATGCTCCACAGAAGCCAGGCTGATGAGACTTCATCTCACATGTTTTGGGCATGAGGTCAGGAGGGGCAGTTGCTGGAGAAGGACATCATGCTTGGTTAAGTAGAGAATCAGCAAAAAGAGGAAAATCCTCATCAAGATTAGTTGACACAGTGTTGGCAGCAATAGGCTCAAATACAGCAACAACTGGGGAAATGGTGCAGGACAGGGCAGCGTTTCACTGTGCTGGACGGTGGTCATCATGAGCGGGCGCTGACGCATCAAAACCTGACAATAAGCCAGTGGTGCCTGGGGTGGGACACCAGGTGACACGTGGGGTGGGGGGTGGGGTGGTGCACGGGGTGGCATGTGGGGTGGTGGGTGGGGTGGGGCATGGGGTGGCACGTGGGGTGGCCGAGAGTGTACGCAGCAGGAAGCACATCTCACACAGGAGCTCAGGAAGCACTGGCCCCAGTCATTGCTTTCTCACCTTTGCACCAGCTCCTCCATCCTCATCTACCTCACTGGGATCCCATTCTGAGTTCACATCCCTCTTTTTTTATTAAGCAGCCCTAGTAGCACAGTGGATTATGTGTTGGGCTGGTAACTGAGAGTTCAGGGGTTCAGGTCTCCTCCCATAAATATTTACAGACTCAGGAACCTAATGGAAGTGACTTGAGTTAGGACCAACTTGACAGCAGTGGGCGGTGGCCTTTATTAGAAGCCTCTGGGGGTGCAGTGGTTTGAGCATTGGAATGCTAACAGAAAGGTCAAACATGCAGGCCCACCAGACCCCACAGGATACACAAGGGAGTCTGCTTCTGTAAAGACCCCAGCCTTGGAAGCCCCGTGGACGGCACCAACCTGTGCTACAGGGTTGCTGTGAGCTAGCATCTCCTCCACAGAAGAGGGACCCTTTATTAAGGGTTTCCGGATGATGCAGCAGTTAGTATGCTTGGTTGCTCAGCGGATACTTGGAGGGGCCAGTTGACTCTGAGGCTCCTCAGAACAAAGGTGTGCTGACCTTACAAAGTGGCCATGGCTGCTCTGAGGAGCATTCACACACGCGCACCATGGTGGGGACCCATTCAGCAGCACGTCTGAATTTTTATCATGGAATCCCCAGGAGTGAAAGCAGATGAGTCAGCTTAACGGGTGGTCATTTAATTCCATCAGAAGCACCTCAAAAGAAAAGCTAAAGATGGATTTCTGAAAACTCAGCTGTAGGTCTAACAACCTCAGTGGGGTGTCTGTGGGTCCGAGGGCTGACTTGAGTAGGATTAGGAAGGAGCTTTCTTTCTGCGTGCGCAACAAGCAGCTCTGGAAGCAGCAGATGGCGCGTGATTCCCAGCAGGATCTGAGGTGCAGCAAGTAACCAGCTGATGATGCTCTGCTTACCTGTGTGCTGAATCCAGTGTCATCGATGAAATTACTGTTTGCTGGCACCAGGGAGAGATCTGGAAGCAGAGCCGAAGGAGAGCATGGAGATAGCTCAGGCTGACCTAACTCCACAAGGGGCACTGTCCCTGTCAACAACATTCACAGTACAAAACTAACTGCTAGAAGATCAAACGCGGTCCCCTACATGCCTGCACCCAGCTCTACTGATTCTAACACCAATCTTACTGCTCTATTGTTGTGTTGGTGTCTCTTCTCTATCATGGTGCTGCCAATTGACCCAGTGGGAAAATCTTTATTTTCTTGATGTTGAACTTCAGTTAATATTGAAGATAGTCTTTGATCTTCAGCAGCAAGCACTTCAGATCCTCCTTACTTTCAGCAAGCAGGGTTGTGTCATCTGCATAACACAGGTTGTTGATAAATTTTCCTCCAATCCTGATGTCACATTCCTCCTCATAAAGCCAAGCTTTCCAAATGATCAGTTCTGCATCTAGACTGAAAAGTTATGGAGACAGGATGCATCTCTGACCCACTCCTTTCCTGATTTTAAACCATGCAGTGTTTCTTCGCTCTGTTCTGATGACTGCTTCCTGGTCCAAGTGTAGGTTTCACATAGCACCATCAAGTGTTCTAGGATTCCCATTCTCCTCAAGGTTAGCCACAATTTGTTGCGATCCGCACAGTCAACGCCGTTGCATAGTCAATGAAACACAGCTAGACAGTGACAGCACCACTTCGCACTGTACTCACGGTTGTGGGGTTTGTTAGAGAAGTTAACAGGGAACAGTTCAGGTTGGTAGCAGGAGACAATCCGTCAGGCTGGTTACTCAAGCATGGCCATAGGCCCTTTGACCTTCGGCTTCACAGCTTAGATCAGTGCCACAAAGTTCCCTTGGTCCTGATGGTCATGAGGTCTTCCCGCAGTCTTCCAGCGAGGCTGGGTGAAGGCCTCCGCTCTGGCTCTGTGGGGCAGCAGTCCCAGGTCAGTGCTGTCTCTGCTGAGGCCGCTGTTACTGTCCTGTTGATCCCAGTCTGTCTGGTGCAGGAACTCTGGTCCTGAAGGATGCACATTGCCGCGTCTTCCTTGTTGGTGTTGAGATTTCTAATTTCTGCTGCTGCAATCTCTTCATTTAGGCCTAGTGAGATAGCCTTATGGATGGACTATCCCTGTTGTTAAGATCCCACCCATCCACGTGGCAAAACAAACAAAACGGCTAGGAAAGTTATTTTAAACAATAAACCCTTGATATTACAACAACAATACCAGGGGAACCATTCAGGATGTATGTGCACATGTGTGGATGTAACCAGAGCACAGCCAGCTGGACACACAGGACAGTGGACAGACGAGGTGTGCTCCAAAGATGAAGTACAAAATCGTGTCGGCCTGATGCCTTTTGTGGTCCTGAGCAGTAGTTCTCTGTCATTTGTACTGGCTTAAATATCACCCACTGCTGACCAGTAATTCCAATTCCTAATGACCCGTAGGGCAGAGAAGAACTGCCCTGTAGATTTCCAGACCTGTCACCTCTACAGAAGCAGACTCTGCACCCTTGTCCTTCAGACTGACTTATCATAGCAAACTTATAATGCTTTCCTGTACTTAAAACACTCATATCATATAAAACTATGTTTCATAGCCAATGTATTAACAGTGTACCCTCCTTAACTTAACAAAGAAGCCTCTATTGCCAAATGGAGTCACTCATACTTGACTCAAAAGACATTACTACGCAGTCAGAACTGACCCAGAGCTGACACTCGAGCAGGTTTTCTGAGGCTGTAAGTCACACGGGAGAGGACTACCCATGTTTCTCAGGTGAAGCGGCTGGTGAACTTGAACCCCCCAGAGGTCCTGCCTATGCGTTAGCAGAGCGCTTTCCCGTAGACTAGGCATGCCGAAGCCATCCCACCACCAAGGCGTCTGTTCTGGCTCTTAGTGTCCTGTAGGGAGGAGTCAACCCTCCCATAGGATGTCCTCGGCTGTCAGCTTCAGGGAGGAGTCATAGTGAAGCATTACTTGTTAGGCTCCTAATGGAAAGATCAGCAGATCGAGGCTCGTAGCGGATCCTCAGGAGAAAGATGGGCTCTATAAAAATCTGTGGCCTCGGAAGCCCAGCAGAGGGTGACCATCACTGAGACCAACTCAAGGCTGTGGGTGTACAGCACCCACGTGGGAGGGTGGAGGGTGGCCGGCTGACCAGTGTCCTGCTCCTTCCAGGTGGGCCTGTTCCGGAAGTCGGGTGTAAAATCTCGGATCCAGGCCTTGCGGGAGATGAACGAGAGCTTCCCAGAGCACGTCAACTATGAGGACCAGTCCGCCTACGACGTGGCTGACATGGTCAAACAGTTCTTCAGGGACCTCCCTGAGCCACTGTTTACCAGCAAGCTCAGCGACACCTTCCTCAACATCTACCAATGTGAGTGGGACTCAGCACACCTGGTTCCCTCTGGGGCCTCCTCATTCCCTGGCTAAACTCCCAGTCGCTAACAGATCAGAGGTTCAAACCCACCGACAGCTCATGTTTACTAGAGGAGACAGCCCTCCTTTCTCCTGCAGAGTAGCTGGTGGATTAGAACCAGTGACCTTTCAGATAGGAGCCCGGCACATAACATACCACAGCCCCACGCAGCTTTTCCTTACGCCTATCCATGGTGTACTCAATGCTCACCAACACCACAGTGTCAGGCCTTCAGTTCGTCTTCATTCTTTCTTATTCTTTAATACTCAGGTCAAAATGCACGGGTGATAGACATGCTCGCTCGGCAGTCTGCGGCTGCCCTTTCAACACAGCAGGTGTTGAACCATCTTGAATTCATTCAAAGTCTTCCAGGCACGTGGCCCAAGTTGGGGTGGTTTGCGCCCTCAGTGGGCACTACCAGTTGCTGATGTTACTGGTGGTGATGGTGGTCCTCTCCCATCTCCAAAAGTGTCCTGGTTGTCACAGGGGCTGGCTCTGTCTGCAGCAGCCCCGCTCATGGCCTGGCCCACTTCTCCCCAGATGTCCCCAAGGAGCAGCAGCTGCAGGCAGTCCAAGCGGCCATCCTGCTGCTGGCGGATGAGAACAGGGAGGTCCTCCAGACGCTCCTGTGCTTCCTCAACGACGTAGTCAACGTGGTGGCGGAGAACCAGATGACACCCATGAACCTGGCCGTGTGCCTGGCCCCTTCCCTGTTCCACCTGAATTTACTAAAGAAGGAAGCATCTCCGAGGTAGGTCCCCCTCTCACCAGCAGGAACCCCCCAGGCTTCCCCACAGAAATCCTGATGGGGTGAAGACGAGTGTGGGAGGATGAGGCCGTGCTCCGTGCGTGGACAGTGCTGGTCCTCCTGAAGTACATCTCCAGCCCTTTTTCTTCTGAGGGGCTGCTGGCTGGCATGGAGATGAAGAGCACTGAGCCATGGGCACCACTCAGGGATTGTGTTCACTGTTGAAAGCCCTGTGTTCTGTTTCCACATGCGGCTTTGCACACACTTCTTTTGTGAAAGGAAGATGCTTTGGGGCGACCTTGGTGTCAGCTCCATTCGTAGATTTCTCATTTCTCAGGGTGAGAATCGCCATCCAAGGAAGCCCAATGGGCTTGCTTGTGAGTGGAGAAGGGGAGGAAGGGGGTAGGACAAATAGCACTTCGCCATCTCTGATAGTTACAGCTCCCAGATTCCTGCTGGAGGGCCTATGGGTTGTTTCTGACTGGATGGTAAAGCACAACAGCAATAACATATGAAGTCTGGAGGCACAGTAAAAAGTGCTCAGCTGTGACCCGAAGGTCACTGGTTCAAATCCACCAGCTGCTCCACAGGGAAGAGATGAGGCAGCAGCCTCCCATGGAGATGACAGCTCCGAGGCCCCATCGGGTAGTTCCACGGTACAGTGGGGTCCCTCAAGCCAGCATCAGCTCGACAGCACTGGGCTTGACTTACAGTCACGAAGCCCTGGTGGTGCAGTGGTGTCGTGCTCCAGGCCACTCTGTGGGAGGAACCTGGGCCATCAGTGTCTGTGGAGACTGGGAGCTGAGGCAGGCCGTGGGCAGCTGTAGCCCACATGGCTGCTGCGAGGTGGAACCAATTTGGTGGCATTTTTTTTTCTTTTCTTTTTGGAACACAGGTGAATAACCACTCTGGTCCTTCCGGCGTATCTGTTTTACTAAGATTTTTGCTTACACACTCCCAGGCTCCTGGCCTGACTCAGAATACCTGTGGGCTGGTCACTGTTTGCTAGAGAATGAGGAGGCTGGCAGCTGGGTCTGAAGAGAAAGCACAGAGGGAGAGCCCTGTGTGGTCTAATGTGTGTGACACCACGTTCAATTACAGAGCCATTCAGAAGAAGTATGCCACCGGGAAGCCGGACCAGAGGGACCTCAATGAGAGCCTGGCCGCTGCACAGGGCCTGGCGCACATGATCACCAAGTGTGACCAGCTGTTTGAGGTAGGTGATGCCTCTCACTGCCTCCACCAAAGCTCTCGGGATGCCTGCTTTCTGTGGCTTCTCTCGTCTGTTTCTGGTTTAATGCTTCTAAAACATTCTGTCACCCTGGTGCTTGCCTGCAATGCATATGTAACTGGGCTTTGACTGTAGGTTTCAGGGAAGTAGTTGCACACTGATGGTGACCTGGATCAAAGCTGGCACACCTGCTCTATTTGTCTTCACCTTGGGACAGGATATTGTGTGGCATCTTTGTGTATATGACACTGAGCAGTCCTTGTGCCTAAGAGTCAGTGGCCACTGAGGTTACAGCTGTAGAGAAGCTAAAGGAATGAGTGAACTTGACCTCTGTCATACTTTTCTAGTTGTTGTTATCAAGCGCCATCAAGTCAACAACAGTTCCTAGTGACCCTATGAGCAGTAGATGCTTTCATGGGTGAATAGGTATTTATATGTGGGCAAAGTCTGATGTTGCAGACCAAGGGTAAAGTATATTAATAAGTATTAATAACAAGACAGACACCAAGAATGTATGTGAAAAAGGTAAAGCAGGAGGCGACCAGTTCTCCAACAACTGAAGCACCAACCTTAGCTTCCCTGTGCCTTTATTGAAAATTGCCAGGGAGCAAATCACAAAGAGAATTCAATGGAAATGCAGCTCAGCTCTTTCTATTGAAAACCTTATGCTTGACTCAGGAGGGAGGGGTTAGCAAATATAAGACAAGAATCCTGGAAACCATAAGGTTTGCCTTCGTGCCTACCCCTGTAAACATTTAAGGATTGCTTCAGTGCTTCAGGGTGAATTCCAGTTTATATCAGCCCTCCTCATATCCTGAAATAGCATTTGGTTTATTATAAATATTTAATATGAAATACGGCTTTCCACAGTTTGCTACTAAAAAACAAACACGAAGTTTCTTCAGAGTCATAGCGATGCTTCAGTTAGTACATCTGTTTGATCGAACTCTGCTGACAGTTGGTAAAACTTTCTGAGATCACGCTTTCTCATATCAAATAAAAGTATGTTCGCAATAAAATTGAAGCAAGTGGAAACCATGAGGTCATTGCAATCTTTTGAATAATAGAGTAAAATCTGTTAAAACAGATGCTTGTGTCTCAGTTCTCTGATGCTACTGTGACATGGACACCACAGGTGGCTGTGTCTTAGGTCTCTGGTGCTGCTGTGACAGGGACACCACAGGTGGGTGTGGTGCTGCTGTGACAGGGACACCACAGGTAGAAGACTTACACAAACAGAAATCTATCCTTTTACAGTTTGTCGTGGTTGTTGTGTGAGTCAGACAGACCCATAGCTGACCCTCCACTGGGTTGTCAGAGGCTGTAAATCAGGCCAGAGAAGCCTCACATGTTAGGAGTCTGAAGTTCAGAATCCATGTCTCCTCATTTTAGAAGGTTCCAGTCACCAGGACTCCAGAGCAATGATTTGCTTCCAGCTTTTCATTCCTAATGGTTTGTAGGTTTCTCTGATCTCTGCTGGGTTGTTAAATCACTATTATATCTCAAAGGAGAGTGTATGCAGAAACAGCCCTGCCTCCTTCATTACCATGATGGCTTCAGAGCCTCCTCAGGACCAATGCATAGTTGAGGATTTACAACCGTAAAATGTAACTCACCTCATCACTTGATGCTTTTTACAAAGCCCTGAGAACCATGGCCTTGGTTATACTGAAATGAGGGAAGGGTGGGAGAAATTCAGGCTGTTGCACTGTGTAAGGAGGAAACCTGTCAGAGAAGAAAAAATGCAAACATTTTTCACCAATAAGGAGGGAAAGAAAAGTGCTGGCACTTACTCCATCAGAGGCAGAAAACTGAGAGACCCAGCTCCCGCTCTCATAGGTTCCACTGCAAATAAAGCCTCAGGGACATATGTGTGCTTGGTGAGTTTTAGAAGAGCCCTCACAGAGCTTCAGGGAACGTCTGTCCCACCACAGGGCTCCAAGCCTGGTCCCGCACCTGATCTCTGGGGGACATGACTTTGCTGCATGATGCATTTGAGCCTCTGTCCCCTCAGATCCCCGCTGAGATGGTATCCCAGTCCAAAGGCTCCTACAAAGAGGCTGACATCTATATCCCGACTCTGGAAGACCTGGGGAGGCGCACTGAAGAGAACGGAGCCACATACCACACCTATCTGGAGCATCTCATCTACAGCCTCCAGAAAGAGGCCAAGGACAAGTTCAAAGGGTGGGTCACCTGCCCCAGCTCAGACAACACCGAACTTGCTTTCAAAAAGGTAAGCTCAGGGCTTGGAGGACACTCCAAGAGAGTTCCCTTAGAGAACCACCAGTAGCCCCCCACCTGACAAAACCTGCAGTCATTATGTGGACTCTTGGAGCCTGTGGGACGGAATCTGTAGGACGGAGCCTGTAGGACGGAGCCTGTGGGATGGAGCCTGTAGGACGGAGCCTGTGGGACGGAACCTGTAGGACGGAGCCTGTGGGATGGAGCCTGTAG